AAAGAGCCAGGGATTTAGCTCAGTAGTTCTGCCATCTATTTGCCTTGTAAGTGTAAGGTCCTGGGTTAGAACCCCAGTGCACGGAAAAAAAAAAAAAAAAGAACTGAGGATGTACTGTAGTTCAGTGCAAAGGCCTTGGGGTAGGGGGTTTCAATACCTCGTACTGAAAAATAAAGCAGCATATTCTAGGCTAAGCCAATTATTTACTCAGAACCACTGCTGCTAGGCTTTTGCCTCTGTGGATTTTAGCAAAAATGGGGGTTTCTCCAGGTAGCAACTAGGACAATGCATGGCCAATCCCACTGAGACACCACCCGTCTGACGCACCTGAAATACGGTCACTACCTCAGCAACACTGGAGTCAGGGACTATTGGATCCTATTGGATCTGGCTTATTTTCATCCAAGCCTGTTGGCTTCACTGTGGAAGCAGCAAGGAGAGTCTGAGTTAGCAGGCTGCATTCTACAGTCTCCTTTCTGCTAGTCTTGGAGAAGGGAACCATAAGCAGTGTATCCAGGAAGAGAGTACAGAAAAGGGGGCCTCATCTGGAGCTTCATAAAGGACCAAGAATGGAGTACAGGATGAGGTGGCAGCTTGGGCTTCAGCCAACAGTCCTGAGATTAGCAGTTAGCAGAAATGCCACACAGAGAAGGGATTTGCATGGCATTTGCATGAACAGTCATAGGGCCCTGGGAAACCTGGCATGACTAAGGGCTCGTGTTCTTTGCTGTTACCCACCCACCCACACTTCCAGGCATCCACCAGCTGCTGTCACTCCTCACCTGCATTTTTCTCTTCACGGTGTCAAAGGGAAAGGAGAGGGTCTGGGTCACTGTGGCAGCCAGACACATGTTGGCAAAGTTCTGCAGGAGAGAGAACCGGTCTCGGGGTCCATTCCAGATTTTCTCCAGGTTCATGTAAACTAGCAGGGAGCCCGCAGAGAAGGGGAGAGCACCTGCAAATCAAGAGCAGGAAGAAGCTGTTGTCTCAGGAAACTCCTGGCACAAGAATATGAATGCCTGGGGGGAACTGGGGCACAGCAAACAGGAGGGGCCTAGCTTGATAAAACTGCTACAACCCAAGAAGCACAGGGTGCTTTCTCAGGGTGTGACAGGGTTGTATTTTGATAGGGGTTGAGTCATTTGCCAAAATGCCTCAAATGGTTCATCAAAGGTTTGTGCTCTTTACCATTTATAAATTGTACATTAAAGAGAACCATATGCAAATAACAAACTTGAGTACATGAAACATATGTTGAAGGGTCTGGGAGTAAAGTGCACTGGTGGTTGCAGCTTACCCTGAAGTCATCCATAAAAATGATGAACTGAAGAATGGCTCTGGATAAATAGGTGATAAAGCCAAAATTTAGATTGTAGCATCTGAATGATGGGCATATGGGTGTTTTCAATTCTTTTAAGTTTTCTGTGTGTTTCAAGTTCTTTTAAACTTTCGGTATGTTTTTTGCTAGCCCCCATATCACTTCCATAGAAGTTAGTGGGTACCACCTGATCAAGTTTTGTGGACTGGGAAGGACTGTTCTCTGGCTAAGGAGGAAGCATTTTGTGAAAACTGGCCAGGGAGGCTACCTGAACTTACCTTTGACATGGTCATGTCACAGCCCACAGGGCACCCTGGGTACATTCTTACCTTTCTAATATAATTAAGGGGATGGGCGAGAAATGCAGTAGGTAGCACTCTCACCAACTTCTAGAAACTTAGGGAGCCATCTTCAGTCTAGAGAAGGACTAAATTTCTCAAAGTGAGATTTAAAAGAAATAATAACATAAGTGGGGCTGCTCATTTTTAGATAAGGTCACATTAAATATAACTCACCAATTTCCCATTTACCTTCACTCAAAAAACATTTGGGGAGCTTATGCTATGTGCTGGGCCCTATGTCAGACCCTGGGAATATAAAAAGAGCAGGCTAAGGCCTAGAGATGCTTAGGGCAGGAGACAGCCAGAGAAAAGTAATATGTGTATTATTCTTAACATGTGCCATAATTGGGAGCTAGGCAAGATACTTTAGTTCCACAAGGATCAGAGGGATCAACTTTTCCTGGGAGAATATGGAAGGACTTGGCAGAAGAGAGATCTTTGGGACTGGGTCTTGAGGAATGATATCAGGAGAGTAGAGAGACAGTTCAGGCAGAGGGAATGGCTTGTACAAAGGGAATAGTATTTCCAGGAAACATGAGTTTTCTGTATGGCTGGGACATGAGTGCAGCTAGAGGTATAGCACAGGACAGGAAGAGGCAGGATGGACTGGCCGGGGCCATGGCTGAAGGATCTAGAATGCCATAAGGAATTTGCCCCCCCCAACTCAGAAGGACTCACAGAAGGCAGAGAAATGAGGGTGGCGAAACAATCAAACTGAGTTACATAAGATTGGCCTAGCCTGGCAGCAGTGCTGAGGACTGCTTTCCTGCCAGTCTGTACTGTGTTACCTCTACTCTGTCTTGGGGATGTGACTGGCCCCGATTTAGGAGGAGATGTGTGGCTAAGGAGTAACTGGCTCTATGTGGATTGAATCCATGGAACCTTGACCTTGGTAGAACAGATTAACTGATCACAAAGGTATACAACCTATACATATATGTCCAAGAACACAACCTTTTCTTCTTCTTTCTTTTCTTTCTTTTTTTCTTTTTTGGTACCAGGGATCGAACTCAGGCCCTTGTGCTTGCGAGGCAGGTGCCAGAACCACTGAGCTAAATCCCTGGCCCAAACACAACCTTTTCTTAGACAAGATGAAAAGTTCCACTTTACCTAAAACAGTGAGGGAAACCCCTCGATAAAGGGCCAGGAACCCTTCCTGTTGATAAATAGTAGAAAAAGCGTGGAGGAGCCCCCTATAAGATGGCTTGAGCACGTTCTGCACAATCAGCCGTGTTTTGATGAGGTCCGTCGGATATGTCCCAATGGCGGAAACCATGCCTGCGAGACTCCCAGCCACAATGCAGCGCCACTGGGAAATATGGCCCAGGTCATCCATGAACAGCACAACAAACCTGGGAGAAAATGGGAGGGGAGGGGGAAAGCCCAAAGCAATCAGCTATGGATAGTGCTATGGTGTTCTACAGACCTTGCAAACTATTACCAACATTTGGAAGTTCTTTACAAAGAGAAAATTACTACAGTGCACTATTAGAATTAATGAATAATCTATTTAAATCTTACTATATTTATATAATGGTAACTATAAGGAAAAGCTTCCAAACCTTCTGATTTACATCCACCCAAAATTCTTCCCATTTTAGACATTTTCCCCTTTTATCTCCATACCTGTCAAACCTAGCTTGCCTGTGGGGTATAAATGTACAGAAGCATTTGGAAGTACCACATTGGAGTGCACTCTTTCAGTCTTGTCCACATTTAAAAAGGAACGGAACCTCTTGAAATGAGGTCTTTGAGCATCCCAGAAATTGTTATAAAAATATAACAGTTTATTGTTAAATAACATTTTGTAGGAGGCCCTGATTTGGACAGAGCACCTACACAGGGCCCAAGAGACCAAGCCAATATAGTTCAATCACAGGAACTGACTTTTCTAGTTGCAGAAGGCCCTGCAGCCAGTTTACTGACAAGGCTACAAGCAACTTACTAAACTATCACCAGTTGACTGGCTGAATGACTAGATTGTAGCTAATTATTTTCTATGCCTCACTTCTGTTTTCCTATAAATGCTGTCTAATCATGATGTTGGTTGAAGTTCTCTGAACCTGCTTGGTTCTTGGAGCTGTCTGATTTGTGAACTGTGTTTGTTTTGCTTAAATAAGTTTTAAACTTAGTTGGTCTAAGGAATTTCCCTTATAACAATACTTGTAAGAAATGATGTTATAGGGGTCAGAGATTTAGCTCAGTGGTTCAGTGGCCTGCCTTGCAAGTGCAAGGACCCAAGTTCAATCCCCAGTACCAAAAAAAAAAAAAAAGAAATGATGTTGTATTACTAGTTTTTTAGAAAAAGGATAGAATAAAAATGACAAGTTATTACTTCTCACCCAACAGACTAGCAAAGATCAAAAATTCTGGTAAGGATATGTGCAGATAGCAACTCTCACCTATGTCTAGGAGAAACATGAATTTGTAGGGTCACTCTGTAGTATCTAGTAAAACTGGAGAAACATCTATCCTTTATCCCAGTAGTGATACCTCAGTTACTGAATGGCTCCAAGCTCGACCTTTCCATTACTTAAACACCCAAATTAAAAAAAAAAATCTGCTTGGTTTTTGTAACTGCTTGATAGTGGAACTGAAAATCTGACTTGAAAAACCTGTATGGGCCGAGAGTGAGTCACACACTGCGTCTTGCCACAGACACAAAGGGGAGACATTTCAGTCTAAGCACTGCTCTGGCCCATACAACATATAATGCTTGTGTCATTGCATTAAAACACTTATCACTCTGCTTTTTGTGTGCTTTATTCATGTAAAATGTTGTAACTAGGGCTCCAAAGAAAGTTACTGATACTGTACCAGCAGTAAAGCTAAGAGGAAAACTAAGAACCACAATAGAGATAAAGAAAGGAATCATTGTGAAATTTGTTAAAGTCCTAGAAAAATGAAATTATAAGTGTAATTTTTGGGCCTCAGAATTATTTGGTTTTCTATTATTTCTTATGGGAAAAATATGTTCACTTCTCAAACTTTTCAGTGTCCAAATATGAACTTGTAATGAATTGAGTTCAACAAATGTAATGCCATTTCTAAGTATAATCCCTAGAGAAATTCTTGCAGGTGAACATACAAAAAAAAAACCACATAGTGTAACAGGGTAAATATGAAAAGCTCAATCTAAATGTCCACGGGAAGGGGAATGAATAAATTCTGGCACTGTCATACAATGGATAATACATGGTTAAAATGAATGAGTTTAGAACTGTGCCAACAAGGACAAATCACAAAAGCATAATGTTGAATAAACAAAGGAAGCTGTAGATTGATCTGCATTATATGATAAACATCTATTTACTTAGAAACACCCCCAAAACAATATATTATTCAAGAACAAGTGTGTGTGTGTGTGTGTGTGTGTACATGAGAAAATAGACCTGTGATTAAGAGGAGAGGGAATGGGGCTAGGAGTAAGAATGAGGAGGACTTTAGCTTTATCTGTAATGTTTCACAGTGGACCCTTGACTTAGGAACTCGATCAGTTCCCAAGGGCTGGTTGTAACTCAAGTTGGTTGTAAGTGAATACAGCTGAGATCTGGATGTTTACCTGGGTATATACTATAGATAACAAGAGGCAGATGAATCTTCCATTAACCTAATTATCCCAAATTGTGCATATGTCAGGCCGGCCACAACTTCAGGGTCCACTGTATTATTTCTTATATTAAAATAAAGATGCATAGCTGCCAGGCATAGTGCAGGGACTGCTACTTGGGAGCTTGAGGTGGAAGGATTGCTCGAATCCAGGAGTTCAAGACCAGCTTGGGCAGCACAGTGAGACCTCAACTCAAAACAATGTAAAGTATGGATGGTGAGTAGTATTTCTCTGTGCTGTTACAATTTAAAAATGGTTTCATGTGGTTTTTCTATAAAATGGAATATTACTTAGCCATAAAGGATGAGAAATAGATTCATTCATAGGAAAATGGATACATATTGAAGATATACTCCTAAGGGAAATAAATAAGGCACACATGTGTAAATACCGAATAGTTTCTCTGGTGTGAATAATCTGCAATAATACAGAAGATCCTAATAAGATTACTGACATTGAGAAATGGGAAGAAAGGAGCTAAAGGTGTAGGGAAGGTGGGACAGGTAGGGGAAGGGTGCAAAGGGAAAAGAAAAAAATGTGAGATAATGAAAAGATGGAAATAAAGTGGTTGTAGATGGGGAGGGGAGGAGGGGGTGAAGAGAGGGCAGGGACAAGGGGAAAAAATGAGAACCAAGACCTGTCATGTAGAGGTACAATATCCCAACAATGAATGTAACTGTACTGTATCCCTAAAATGTATCAATAAACTCAATTAAAGCTGAAAAAAAATAAATAAAAATGGTTTCAGGTGGGCCTTTCCAAATGCAAAAAATATAAAGCTGCTCTGTTACAATCGTTTCCCAGTTATAAGGGCCCACCATGGCTGAAATCATTATAAGTGATTTTTTTTTTGAGACAGGCTCTCACTATGTAGTTGAGACTGACCTGGAACTCACTATGTAGCCCAGGCTGGTCTCGAACTCATAGCAATCCTCCTGCCTCAGCCTCCTGAGTGCTGGGATTATAGGCGTGCACCACCACACCAGGCCG